ATTCGAACCTGCCAGCTCAGGTGTATCTGGCTGGTGCCTTAGCCGGTTGAGCCACAGGCATGGAGCCAAACTAAGCAATTCTTATCTGCCACCCCCTGCTCCTGGCCCGTTTCTTGTCTGACTATGAACTCCTTTGGGTCCCAGTGTCCTCATTTGTTAAAAGAGGGAGGTAAAGCCCTCCCTCAACAACTGAGCGTCTTTGTCTTCAGATCTAACCTGGGCCTTGCTTAGAAACAGAACAACCCATACCTCTCGTCTGGTGTTTTATAGACCGCCCCTCCAATTCATTTGAATACCTAACAACAGAGAAATAGGCAGAATAGGGCTTTCCCTCCCTAGGACTGACATCAAAAAGCTGAAACAGGAGGGATGGTGTCTGACTCAAAGTCACATAGCAAGACTTAGCTCCTCTGATTATCTAATCTTATCTGCTGCTGCTGCCTAGTACATATTCCTGGTGTTCAGGTCAAACCAAACAAATCACATGTCTCAGAACACACTCTGCATTCCACCCTGGATGCCTGTCCTTTCAGCCCTTTTAAAAACTTCTTCAGGGCTTGGTGCCCATAGGTCAGTGGTTAGGGCGCCGGCTGCATACACTGGAGCTGGTGGGTTTGAGCCCGGCCCGGACCTGCCAAACAATGACAACTGCAACAACAACAGTCCAGTCTACCTGGGAGGCTAAGGCAAGAGAATCGCCTGAGTTTGAGGTTGCTGTAAGCATACCACAGCACTCTATTGAGGGCAACATAGTGAGACTCTGTCTCAAAAAATATATATATAGAAAAATGAAAAAACTCCTTCAGGGACTGGGTGCAGTGGCTCACGTTGCAATCCTAGCACTCTAGGAGGCCCAGGCAGGGGAATCACCTGAGCTCATGAGTTCAAGATCAGTCTGAGCTAGATGGAGACCCCCACCTCTAAAAATAGCTGGGCGTTGTGGCAGGTGCCTGTAATCCCAGCTACTTGGGAGGCTGAGGCAAGAGAATCACTTGAGCCCAGGAGTTTGAAGTTGCTGTGAGCTATGTGCCATGGCACTCTACCGGGGCGACAAAGAAGACTGTCTAAAAGAAATAAAAGCTCCTCTCACCTCCCTCTTCTGACCTCCCTGGTCTCAGACCCTTTCCTTATCTCATGGGAATTGCAGGCTTCACAGATGGAACACCTCTGATTCACTTCCGTGTGGCTGAACCCCCTACAGGGCAGTACAGCACAAGTCCTGCATGTAGGAAGTGTTATTAAATAGAATAATTAAATGCGTTAAATAATAAATAATTAAATGGGATTAAAAAAAAAGAATAATGAAATGGATGGCTATGAAATGCAGTTAATGCATAGTTTCTGGTACATATTGCTGGTCCAGACTTCAGGATGCATTCATTACTTCATTCACTAAAAGTATTGCCTGTCTGTTTAAGGGTTATTTTTTTTTTTTTAAGACGGAGCCCCAAGCTATCCCCCCTGGGTAGAGTGCCATGGCATCACAGCTCACAGCAACCTCCAACTCCTGGGCTCAAGGGAGTCTCCTGCCTCCGCCTCCCAAGTAGTTGGGACCACAGGCGCCGGCCACAACGCCTGGCCAGTTTTTGGTTGCAGCCATCATTGTTGTTTGGCGGGCCCGGGCTGGGGATTCTAACCCGCCACCTTAGGTGTATGTGGCTGGCGCCCCAGCTGCCTGAGCCACAGGCGCCGAGCCAGTTTAAGGGTTATTAAGCTAAGGAGCTCTTTGTCCAGAAAATAATTAACATGCTCAATATATTACAGAAAATTTCAAAGGTTTGTAGACTATGAACTCCTTTGGGGTCACAAAGGAGGTTCACTTTGGGTCCCTGTCCATGGAACCTTTCTATGGTCCTACTGGGGCCCTAGGACCCCAAGCTAAGGATTGTTGCCTTCTGGCTTGAACATCTACTATATATAAGCTAGGGGCACACATTAAGTCATTCATTAGTTCTATAAATGTGTTGAATGCCCATAGCACTATTGCCGGAGGGTACAGCATTCATTTATTAATCTGTCCATTTATTTATTTATTTATTTATTTTTTGAGACAGAGCCTCAAGCTATCCCCCTGGGTAGAGTGCTATGGCATCACAGCTCACAGCAACCTCCAACTCCTGGGCTCAAGCGAGTCTCCTGCCTCAGCCCCCCAAGTAGCTGGGACTACAGGTGCCCGCCACAACGCCCGGCATTTTTTTTTTTTTTTTTTTTGGTTGCAGCCATCATTGTTGTTTGGCAGGCCCGGACTGGGGATTCGAACCCGCCACCTTAGGTGTATGTGGCTGGTGCCTTAGCCACTTGAGCCACAGGCACCGAGCCTGTCCATTTATTTAGAGAGTGCTTTTTTTTTTTTTTTTGAGACAGAGTCTCACTTTGTTGCTCTTGGTAGAGTGCCATGGCCTAATAGCTCACAACAATCTCAAACTCTTGGACTCAGGCAATTCTCTTGCCTCAGCCTGTGGAGTAGCTGGGACTAACAGGCATCTACCACAATGCCTGGCTATTTTTAGAGACAGGGTCTCACTCTACCTCAGAGCTAGTCTTGAATTCATGAGCTTAGGCGATCCACCTGCCTCAGCTTCCCAGAGGGCTGAGATTAATGGCATGAGACACCACACCCAACTTATTTAGACAGTGTTTTGAAAGACTACCATTAACCACAACCTGAACTGGGCATAGAGGAGAGAAAGATGAATAAGAAAGAATATAAGCCCCATGCTCTTGGGGCCTCATAGGCTAGCAGGGACCAGACTAAGGTCCTGCTTTCTCCCCTTGCCTCCACTCTCACCCTATCCTAGGACCTATCCCACAAGGATTTAGGATGGAGGGTGAAGTAGTCCTGTCAGCTTCCAGCTAGTGCAAGCAGGGAGGATTGAGCTAACTACAAGACCTTACCCCCAATTCTCAGTCCCCTCCTACTTCCCTACCCATGACCGCCCCCCCCAACTTGCTATCTGTGTGTTTGACTAAAGGGCAGGGATTGCTGAACTTGCTGGGTTAGTCCAGTGAGTCAGAGGCGATTCAGGTGGGTGGGCTGGAGGTCAGGCAGGCAGAGGGAGTGCCAGGGGCACTAGGACTATGGCTCTGATCGTGTGTGTGCGGCGACTAACAGGGCTGCCTGGCACCCATGACTGACAAGTGAAGCTCAGTTTTCGGGGTGAGGCTTGCAGTGGTGATCTAAGGGTTTTGGGAAGTGGAGGGCTCTTGGTCCTCCATTCTCTATCCTCAACCCAAACCCTTATCCTCTCTATAGACTGTCTCCTTTCTCCCTTAGCCTGTTCTCTCCAACCCTCTGCCTCCTTCTTCTATCTTCTGCCTTTCTTTAAGTGTAAGACTAGGGGGGCCTGGACACTGGGCCAAGGGTGGAGGAGGCAAATGATTTGTTTGTGTGTGTGTGAGAGAGAGGCTAATAAATGACTAGTTTCAGTTCTGAGCAGGCTTTACCCAGAAAACAAGAAAAATTCGCTGTGGTCAAGAAGTAGATATCAGTGAGGTCAGTACAGTTCGTTCCTGGATGAGGAGAAGCTGATCTGTCTCCTATCAAGTCCATGCTGGAGTTAGGGGGCTTGTCCCTGGGTTCTGAGAGGTGTAGCTTTGGGAGGTGGGAGGTCAATCTGAGGCTTGAGAGGTCAGATCCAATTTAGAACAAGTCAGTCCCAAGACTGGGAGGATTAGTTCTTGATTGGTAGTCAGCCCCATGTCAGCCCTAATTTGTTTTTTTTTTTTTTTTTT